AGAGAGAGAGAGAGAGAGAGAGAATGTTCCTGGCTTTACCACTTACCAGCTGTTGGATAAGGGAAAAGTCACTTTCCTCTTAAACTATTTACCTACCTACAAAATTAAGAGGTTGGTTGAATCTGAGCAAGACACCTAAAGAGGCTATCCCAGAAAAAGCAGTGTTTCTGTGTAGTAATTTTGGGCTTGAACAGGTGGATTCGGAGAGCAGCAGCTAAAGACCTGGGCGACCTCTCTAGTATCTGTCTAATTCATCAAGGAGACATAGGTTGGAAGAGGAGACTACAGTTGGAAAACACATTAAGAAAATAAATTTCGCACTTGACAATAACTGCACAATTCAAATTGTGCCCATTTTCCAGTTGGCCGAACTGATACCCAGGCTGATAAGCTAAAGCGCCCAAGGTGACACAGTGCGCAGATGGCAAAGCCCCAACTGCAACTGCGCCACTTGTTCTGCAGGGCGCCTGCTGCCCAGGACCTGGAAGGGTCGCCGCCCCAGCTCTCACCAGCCCCAGGAAGGCCGCGTACAGGATCGCGGTGGTGAACCAGCGCAGCACGCTCGCGGCCCGGCCGCTGGGCGGGGAGACCCGCACCGTCTCCAGTTCATCCTTTGCCGGGACGTCGGCCTGGAGGAGCCCCTGCCCCGCAGCCGCTGCCCCGGCACCATGCAACTCCAGTTCCAGCTCCAGCTCGGCGGCTCTGAAATGGTCTTGCTGAGATTGCTTTTCATCTGAGCTTCGGGTGTTCCAAGGTGAGCCACGGTCCTGTCCCTAGCGTCACGACTGTTTGCAAAGTCGTCACCTCCCCTAGGCCCGCCCCAAAGCAAGTCGGACTTTGGGATGCGCAGGTGTGGCGCGCAGCTGGCTCTCACCCTCTGGATCACACTTTAGGTGAGACCTCTGAGGCCAGGGGACCCTCGCCAGCGGCGGAGCCAACCGAAGCTGCAGCCTCGGAACAACAAATTCCGGGGGTGAGAGGCCACCAAACCTTCAAGAGGAAATATGAGCCAAGGGCGGAACCTTGTGTGGGCTCTCCCTGTCCGGGAGCTGAGGGAATGGGAGGATCTCGCCTTGCAGACTTTCCAAAATCCCTTCTCCTCCTCCTTTCGAGATATGAGGTTTCTAGGTCTATCCCAGAAAAGCATCTTTTACTCCATAAATTCTTGTTGAAACTCCTGTGTAAGCTTTCACATTGTGCTCAGTTAATTTAAAATTTTAACACTCACAATAACACTCTGAAATCCACCATAGTCCCCAAAGTACAGATTGGAGGACTAAGACAGAAGGAATAAGTAACAGTGTGCTCGGGGGTCAGTCGAATCAGTGGCAACTGGTGACGGGTGACCAAAAGAAGGTCAGGAAAGAAATCAGCTCTACAGCTGCGGTCCCAATCCCACATCTGCTCAATTCCTGCAGTTTAATTCCCGTGTTGTAAAGAAATGAAGAAGGACAGTGGTTTGGGGGATTGCTGAGTAAAGTTCTACCTGATGAGAAAGAAAGAAGTTTATTCGATACCAGTTTTAGTTTCTGTTTTCTTTTGCTTTTTAGCCTACCAGAGCACATCTCAAAATGTGATGTAAATGTTTGTCTTTATCCTCCCTCTGAAATGTTTTTTTTCACCTGATGTCTATTTCCCTCCCTCCCTCTCCCTCCCTCCCTCTTTCCCTCTCCCTCCCTCCCTC